GTGACTCAGTTCTGAGTCAGAGTCTGCACCTCCTGGCTGACTGCAGGGAGCAGGCCACTGGAACTGTCCTTCTCTTCAATGACCAGTGTCCTGGAGGCTGTCCAGATCCACAGCTTCAGGCAAACCCCTCTAGTCATCGACAGTAGCCTGCTCTGGTTAACAGCAGAGGTCATAGTCAACCCAGTCCATGTGGCTCCCCCAGTTCTGGTGGCAGTGCTGTCCCAGAAGAGGCCCGGGAGCTTCAGAAAGGCCTCAAATGCTCGGGGCTTCTCCCCAGGGCACTTTTAGGAGAGGAGAATGTGAATCTCTGTAGTGGAGGACACACACACAATCTCTCTTTAGTCTCCCAGAGTCTCCTAGTCTAAAGTCAAATTTTTTCCCTTTCTCCCTTGTTTCCCTTCAAGTCCCCTTTCGTTTCTCTCACTGCATAAAGTCTAGCATCTTCTACTGAGTGGACATAGAATTTCTTAAATTAAAAGCCCACAGGACAACTGTCTACTCGCTTTGTAATTTGCTTCTAGCCTCCCTAAGCAAGAGGTTGAGCCTAGCTCCCTACTCCAGTGAGGGAAGGAAAGGGAGAAAGGCAGATGAGTGACTCTGACCCTGTACTGTACTCCTGAGTTTCAATGCAGAAAGCAGGATAGTGAAGCAGAGCTTTGACTAGCTAAATGCCTGATATCAAGTATCAAAGGATAAAAAACATTTAAAAAAGAAATGTGTTGATAGATAATAACTAGTTAGACATAAAAGGGAATTGCTTCTGCAGTGTTTGTATTTGAGCAGTATGGATTCTGACGAGGTACCTGAAAGACAAAGGTGCAAGACAATGTCACAAGCCATCCAGTGTCTTTCTAGTGAAAGCCCACATGGGCATCCAATAAAGGGAAAGTGGGCATTTGTTGTATGCCAGTAATTCTATTCCACTAGCCAAATTGCTGTGGGAATATGAACCCCACATTGTGTGTGGCACATTGTGGGTGTTCTATACCAATTTGCTAAAAGAATGAATGGAATGAGAGGGAGAACATAGTGAGAAAGGAATATGGGAATGTAGTTTTTAGCCTCTTCAGCCATGGATCTCTTACTATGCTAGTGTGTGCTATCATTCTCCAAGAATGGGATACACAGCACAACAATTTCTCCCTAACTGATCACTGACCCCATTTTCAGTGACCATCTTGAAGGACTGAAGCTAGTACTCTGGTCCCCATTTCCCAGCTCTGTAACCCACATCTCTCTGATGGGGTTTTTGCCTTAGCTATCTTGTTATAATTCTTTTATTAGAGTATATTAATTATACAAAATAATGCATTTCATTATGACATTTCATGCATGTGTATTTTGATCAGAGTCACATGCCCTATTACTCTCTCCAATAGTCTCCTTCCTTTTCCCAAATAGTCTTTCTGCTTTCGTGTCTTTTTTGTTTTCTAGATTCTGTATATGACAGAAAACATGAAGTATTTGTCTTTCTGGGTCTGACTTATTTTATTTAGCATAATGATCTCCAGTTCCATCCATTTGCCAGTGAACAATATGATTTTGTTCTTTATGGCTGAATAATACTCCATTGTGCATATACATCGTATTTTCTTTGTTCCATTCAGCCATTGATGGGCACTGAGGCTGATTCCATATCTTGGCACTGTAAATAGTGCCACGATATCTCTATTGCATGTTGACTTTGATTCCTTTGGGTATATTCTCGGGAGTGGTAGCTAGATCATATGGCAGTTTTACTTTTAGTTCCATACTATTTCTACAGTGGCAGCATTAATTTACATTCCCGTCCACAGTATTTAAGGTTTTAAGGGTTCCCCCTTGCATCCTTGCCAGCATTTGCTGGTTTTTGTTGTTGTGTGGTCTATTCTGTTGTGTGGTCAATTCACCTATTCTGACAGGTCATTTGCATTTTCCTGAGAGCTAAAGATCTTGTACATTTTTCATGTATTTATTGGCCATTTGTACTGTTGAAAACAGTCTGTCCAATTCACTCATTTGTCAATTTGGTTTTGGATTACTTGTTCTTTTTCCCATTTTTATTAGCATATGTTCATGGTACAGGGGGGATTTGTTGTGATAGCTTTATATTGTATATTATTCTTTCAGTGTTTAGTTTTTTGAATTCTTTATGTATTCTGGATATTAATCCCCTGTTGCATGAATACCTAGCAAAGATTTTCTCCCATTCTGTAGTCAGTCTCTTCAGTCTAATAATTGTTTCCTTTGCTGTACAGTACCTTTTTAATTTAATGCAATTCCATTTGTGAATTCTTGCTACTATTTCTGGAGCTATTGAAATCCTGTTTAGGCATTTGCTGCCTGTGGCTACAGCTTGAAGTATTTTTCCCGTGTTTTCCTCTAGTAAATTTAAAGTTTTAGGCCTTATGTTAGGGTCTTTAATCCATCTTGAGTTGATTTTTATAGAGAATGTAAGATAGGGATCTAGTTTCAGCCTTCTACATGTGGATATCCAGTTTTCCCAGCACCATTTGTTAAAGAGGCTGTCTTTTCTCCAGTGTATGTTTCTTGGCTCCTTTGTTGAGAATCAGTGGCTGTAGCTGTGTGGGTTTATTTCTGGATCTTCTATTCTAGTCTATTGGTCTACATGTCTGTTTTATGTGAGTGCCATATTTGTTCTTTGTTACTATGGTTTTATAATATAATTTGAAATAAGGTATTGTGATATATCCAGCATTACTCTTTTTGCTCAGGATTGTTTTGGCTGTTCAGTGTCTTTTGTGCTTCCACATAAATTCTAGGGTTGTTTTTGCTAGTTCTGTGAAGTCTGTCATTGGAATTTTATGGGAATTGCATTGAAACTACAGATGACTTTTGGTAATATAGCCATTTCACAATACTAATTTTGCCAATCCATGAACATGGAAGATCTTTCTATCCTCTAATGTCTTTTTAAATTTCCTTCTTCAGAGTTTTGTAGTTTTTGTTGTAGAGGTCTTTCATTTCCTTGGTTAGATTTATTCCAAGGTATTTGTTTTTTATGCTCCTGTACCTTAACTATCATATTAGAATGTAGTTATACTCATAAATGATAATCAATACTGAGTTGCATTAAAAGATAATTTTACATTTAAACTTATGGCTTAAAGATGACTTTATAATGATTATATGTGCATTATTAAATGAAAGAATGAAAATATTATCAGAATAAAATGCCTTCAGAAATAAAAACAATTATGATTACATTGAACTCTCTCTTTTCCAGATTAAAAACAGATTTAATTATAACTGAATCCTCAAGCAGTTATAAGAATTCTGCCATCATTTGTTAAGACCAAAGTTAAAGACATTTACAAAATATTTTTAAAAAGAAAAAACCTGAGCCTTGAGACAGCATTCAAAGAGTGAAACTGGCAGGATTTATCTCTATATTATTTTAGTACCCAAGATCCTACTCGTTATAACAAAAATCCTGGGAACTGACCAAGAAAAATAAATGATAAAAGTTTCAAACTAGGAAACTCAGGAATGAAGAGCAGCATCTATCATCTTACCAAATAAAAATGGCTAGTAAAGGAAAGCTATCAAAAGCTTTGCCACAAATTAGTTACTTAGTTCCTAGAAAGACACAAACTACCAAAACTGATGAGCTCAAAAACCAATGAAAAAATGGGTATAACACTTGTCTAACAAGTATGAGGCCCTGAGTTAAAACCCCAGTACTGTCAAAAAAAAAGAAGAAGAAGAAGAATAGATCTATAACAAGGGATTGAATTAGTTATTTTAAAACTTCACAGAGAAAGAAACCCAGCCCAAGTCACAATGGCTTCTCCTAAATATTTAAAGAATTGTTAACAATCATTTTTAAACTCTTCCATGGAATAGAAGAGGTGAGAACCCTTTTCACCTCTATGAAAGTCAATACTACCCAGATATTCAATCTAATAGATAAATCATAGGAAAGAAAAATTATAGACCAATATCTCTAATGACAACGGTCACAAAAGTTCTTCACAAAATATTAGGAAACTGAAGTGATGATTTAACATGACCAAGTGGACTTTACCCTAGGAATGTGAGGTTGATCTAACATCTAGAAATCAATATTGTATATTATATCAGCAAAATAAAAACAAAATCCACATGATTATCTCAATAAACACAAAAAAGCACTTGGCAAAGCCCAATACCCTTCATAATAAATGTACACAATAAATTAGGAACAGAAAGTAACTTCCTCAACCTGATAAAGTCTATCTATGAAAAACCCATGGCCAGCATCATCCTTAATGATGAAAGACTGCATGTTTTCCCCTAAAATGAAGACTGAGACAAGGTATTGCACTTCCATTCCATATTGTACTAGAGGTGTTAGCCAGGCCATTAGTCAAGAAACTAAATTAAAAGTCTCTATGTTGAAAAGGAATAAAAACTATCTCTCTTTGCAGATGGCATGAACTTGTATATCCTAAGAAAGCCACTGGGAAAAAATATTAGAAAAAAAATTGACTCATCATGGTTGCAGTGTATTGTATAAGAGCAATATGCAAAATTATTTGCATTTCTATATACTAATATAGACTGAATGTGTCTCCTAAAACCTGTATGTGGAATCTCTAACCTCCAACATGATAGTATTTGGAGATGGGAACTGTAAGAGGTAACTGGGTTTAGAGGAGGTTATGAGAGCAGGATCTTCATGAAGGGATTAATGCCTTGTAAGACAAAACTAAAGAAAATGCTCTTTCTTGCTCTGTCATGTAAAGCTGTAGGAAAAAGAGAACAAGAAAGAGGCCCTTATTAACCTAACAATACTAGTACCCTGATTTCAGACTTTACAACTTTCAGAACTGTAAGAAACAAATGTCTGGTTTTTTTAAGCCACCCAGTCTGAAGTATTTTGTTATACAAACTAATTAAGAGAACTAACAGGATGTGAGGGCGATCTGGCTGCGACATCTGTCACCCCATTGATCGCCAGGGTTGATTCGGGTGATCTGGCTGGCCTAGGTCTAAGGCGGTGTCCCCTCCTCCCTCACCGGCTCCATGTGCGTCCCTCCCGAAAGCGCGCGCTCGGTCCGAATGTGAGGACGAGACCATTCCCGATAGAGGAGGACTGTTCTTCGGTCAAGGGTATACGAGTAAGCCTGCGCTCCCCTGCTTAGACCTCCAAAACAAGCTCCAAAGAACAACAAACAACTATCAAAAGTGAAATTTTTTTTTAAAAAGCCAATTCCTTTATAAATTATCAATCCAAGTAAAATTAAAATACCTCACAAAAAAGTTAAAAACCAAAAGTGGACAAAACCTTGTGCTTTTGAAAAACACAAAAAACCATTGCTGGAAGAAATTTATAGAAGACTCAAAATAAAGGAAAGCCTTTTCTGTGGGTTTTGTGTTTAAGAACCAGAAATTTTTAAGTGATCTACAAATTCCCACTCAATTCCTAGAAAATGTAACATCCTCTTTGCAAAAATTGACAACGCTGACTCTTTAAAAAAATGTGATTCAAAATTTAAGGAACCCTAAACAGGCTGAACCAATTCTTAAAAAGAAACAAGTGGGGAAATCTTACATCCCCAAACTCAAACTATAGGAAGCTACCAATAATACAATAGTGCATATTGATATAAAACAGGAATTATGGCAGATGGGGTGGAGCTAAGAAATACCAAAAAGAACCCTTACCTTTACAGTCAATTTGAATGTTTTCACGCAAACACTATGAGAGAACTAGATGATCCACAGACCAAAAGTGTTGCATTGGGACCCCTTTCTCATGCAATCCACAAATTTTAAATCAAAATTTTCATAGGTCATCCAAAATCGAAGCTTTAAAAATGTAAGTAACTCTCACAAGAAAAAATAAGAGTAAAATCTTTGTGACCTTGGTTAGACAAAGCCTTCCTGGATATGAGACTAAGTATTAGAAATTGCCATGGTTGCTCACGGTAAAGTGAGATTGTGAACATTTTTGTCCTATAAAATTAGTCTATACTGATGTATCTCAGAATTCATTCTACATAGTACAAACTCAACTTTACCCCAACTCCAACTTTTCTGGCACTTGCTGTCTACTTTCTGGCTAAATCCCTACCCTCCAAACAAGTCACACTCACACTCACACACACACACACACACACACCACACACACACACCCCACACACACACCATGACAACTGCTGTATACCTGACTCCATGATCCAATTCTAGTCATTCACAAAACCTCTAAGGAGTATGGAGGCACCAGGAAAATTATATTTGTGAAGAAACATTCAGCAACTTAAACACAATGACCTAGTCAGATCTGTCACTATAGTCTAAGAGATGAACTAAAATGTGGAAATCCGACTATTGGACTTGGATGGTAAGCATGGTAGATTTAGTGCCACTCTCCTGCCATCACGGTGGTTACTTTGCTGTGTAATAAATTGAGCCTCTGATAGATCCATATATTGTGGCAACTGAGACGTTCCAGAAACGTAACAAGCCATGGAATTGAAGGCTGTGAAGTATGTGAATCCACACCAAATTTACATCATGAATCCCTGCTGATTCAGCACAAGGACACTGAAATCAAAGGGTAAGGAGGACTATTAGGGGAGGCGGAAGCCACGTATCAGTGTGTGAGACTTATTGCACCTCCTTCTGGAACGTTCTCCATCAACTCCATGCTAAGAGTGCTGTCAGAGCAGCATTCAGCTGCCAGCCCTGTCAATAATGGCCTTCAAGCTATCAGGGATCACCTTAGTTTCTTGGGACGCTTAGCCAATGGCCGAGAGAAAGGAGATAGCCAAGGATATAAAGAACTGATTATCTTAGCCTTACTTGAAGCTAAGTGAAACTTTTCTAGCTCCAGACTCCTTGTTAGAGTTGACCATAGTGCTTGTTTGGGCCTTCATTGCAGCTCAGTTACTCTGTGCTCGTTCAGTCCTGCTTCTATCTCTTTCCTTTCCCAAGTGTTGATCCCAAGGGTCTTTTCTCAGTAATCCTCACCTGTTAAGTTTCCACCTCACTGACTACCTCCTCGTAACTTAACACTTGATGCTTAGACATTGAAGCCTTCTGCCCTTGAAACACAAGAACCTGACTACATTTGCATCTTTCTTATATTGCCTGTTCATTGTTGTTTCTCAAGTCTAATATAACTTCATTCCATGGCATTTAGCCTGGAAGGGGGACATTCCTTACTAGGACTTGGAGAAACGTAAGTAATTAAAATCTCTATTTGTTTGTTGTATTAGCTTGACATCTTCTTCTTTACTAGAGCATCAAGCCAAGTGTTCCTTCTCTTCAGAATCTCAATAGAAAAAGTATTTCTCTATCATTCTTTTTCCCACAAATGATGGAATTTACCGAAGTACTTTCAACACTGTCACTTCTCCTAGTTTGTTGCATTTTAGATTCATCCAGAATGGACTATCAACACTTGTAAGCACATGGTTGGTACAAATTTCAGGCATGAGAAGCAGAAATGGCTGAGCATCCAGCTGTCTGCAGTATTGCTACTTAGGACTTTCTGCTTCAGTGCTCTCCAGATTCTTCTGTGGGCAGTAGCTGCCTCTCTTTTAGTCAGAAATGCTTAGAAAATCAGCATGCATCCACCAACAGCATTTCGCCAATGAAGGAATAATAGGAGCTAGTTGTATATTAGAAAAACTCTAGCACCCTCAGCCCTCCATGAATACATCTGAGGTGTATTCCATTCCCCACAGTTCCACATCAGCATTAAACTGCTGCAGCACCTGAGTGTAGCCACTAGAAACACACCTGAAATTTCTCGTAGTCTTGCCTTCCTTTCCGCCTTCTTCCATTGTCCTACTGTTTGCTTTGCCTCCTAAATTGAATTGCTTGCACTAGAACCTTTTGCTTCAAGATCTGCTTCTTAGAACCAAAATGAAGCATATGTTATTCCTAATCATGAAAAATGCAGATATTACTAGAGAATCTATATTAAATACAAATGACAACTAAAAGTCTGCAGGTTCCAATACTGGAAGAGAATTTTCTGTTCTTCCAGCCTTTCTTTGAAACAGAGTAAATAATGAATTAAAAATTCACCTCCGCTGTTTAACATAGTGCCTGTCTGCTGTTACCCTGGGGGTTGTTAGTTAATCCCATTCAAGGCTGTCCCCCTTGCTGAGTCAGGTCCTCCTCTCATTTCCTTCACCCTGCCCTACCAGGCCATTCACCATTGGCACCTCCCCATGGCAAATTAAGTAACTAGAGAAAACACACAAAGGCTCATTTTAGGAACCGGAAATGCTGTTCTGCTTTGGTCCCAGAATCAAAGGAAGGTTTCAGGGTCAGAAGTATGACTGAATTATTAAACCTTGATCTTGGAGTTGAAAGAAAAAGTCATTTTCAGTTCCAGTTCTTTCTGAATAGCCAGGAAGGAAGCATTAATGTGCCCACTTACCACACACACACAATACACACACACAACCACCAAGAGTGAGAATGTTGCAGTTCCAGGAATTCTAGAGAGTAAAAAAAAAATAATAATATAAATAACAGCTAAACCCTTTGTTAATACCTTCTAGATGCCTACAACTTTCCCCACAACAACCCTAAGAGTTTGGGTATTTTTAGTTCCATTTTACAGATGAGAAAACTGAGATTAAGATAATGTAGTAACTTATCAAATATTGAGGAAAAGAAAATTAAAATAAGCTCCAGAAAGGTAGGATGATATCTGTTCACAATTGTATTCTCTTTAAGCAGCCAGGGTCCAGTGTGTCTGTCAATAAATAATAATGAAATGTTGGATGGGTGTGAAATTTGTCTGAGTAGGAAGTATTCACTATCAGAGAACCATTCCAGGCAGAGCAACAAAATACTTCTGTAAAAGGGCCAGAGAATTAAATATTTCAGAGTTTTGCAAGGCCATAAGGTGTCTGTTCACAACTCACTTGGTTCCCAACAGTAAACTGGAAAGCAAGCCAGAGACAAACAATAATCAAATGAGCAGGTCAGTGTTCCAAAAAACATTTATTTACAAAGTTGCAGAGGGCAGGATTTTGACCCCACTGTAAGGTTTTGTTTGTTGACCTGTGATCTAAGACCTTACCACTTCAAAGCCATGAACCAAACATCAGGGTTTACCTGGGCAGAAATGGAGCATCTCAACCCTCAACGCAGTGCCAGACCTATTAAATTAGGGTCTGCATTTTAATAAGACCCCGGGGATTATTATGCAACATTAACATTTGAAAGAGCATCACTCTGGGAGACTCACATAGTGTTGGCTATCAATCAGGATCATTGAGACATTCCAAGATGGCGGCTAGAGGTAGGAAGCAGAAAGTGACCCTCCTATAGTGAAATCTTGGAGAGACACTGGAGACACACTTTGCAGGCATAATCACTGAGAAAAGGCATAACTTTGACCCCTCCACATCTCCAGCCGGTGCAGAGAATCTCCACTTCACGTTAAATGGAGAAACGAGGAGGGCTGCCAGTGGCCAGCGCCCATACGGCTTAGGAAGACGCAGACCAGGTGAGCTTCATGGTACCGCAGTACTCCCACAGACAAGCCTGGGCCAGAGCAGCATAGCCCCCTGGACAGACTGACCTCTACTCAGGAAAAAAAGAGAAACTGAGTAATTAGCAATAAGAACAGTTAAGACACTGGAAAGAGGGTGGGCGCCCTGAGCGCTGAAGATTGGGGGAAGGGAATCCTTCCCGGGACTGTAAATAAACAAGCCAGGCGGGCGGAGAGCCTCTGGCGGGAGCGGGGCGCGCACCCAGCAACCAGGAGCGGGAAGCTGTGAGAGTGGAGGAGGAGGGAAAAAGCCACTTCCCACGTGAACTGTAAACAAACATGGCGGCCGGCAGGAGCAGCAGCACCGCCCAGTAAGCAGGAGCAGGAAAGCTTCTGAAAGGCAGTGGGAGGAAAACTTCAGAGGAGAGGGGGAAGACCCACTCCCACATGAACTGTAAATAAACACGCAGGCCTGACAACGCGGGGCAGTGTCACCTTTCCCAGTGCTTGGAAAGGGGAAAGCCTGTAGCAGAGGCTCCCGCACAGGAGAACTCTGAGCAAACAAAGCCTGTGGGACCAGGTGAGTGCTAAGCTCACCCCAGAGATCTGCATAAAT